GTGAGAACTTGCAGTTGTGGAGGTAAGTGCTGCGGCCTGGTGGGGAGATAGAAGACCCAGCAGAACAAAGAGAAGGTGCTCCCCGCCCCGCCCCCCGCCACCTCAGTCAGGAACATCTAAGTGGAGTCCTTTGAAGAATGAGTAAGGGTTTAGCCAGTTGAAAGGAGAGAAGAATGCCCCTGGCCTAGAAGTGGGAGAGAACCAGGCATGGTCACACAATGAAAAGGGCTGGTCCTAGCCCATGATGCGGAGGCAGGTGAGAGGCGGGTCTCAAAGGTCGATGAGGGCAGGGTCATGTGCGGTCTTGTGGGCCATGATAGCCAGAGTTCAGACACTGTCCTGAGAGCAAGGAGAAATCATAGAAGGGTTTTAAGCAGGAGAGCGACATTGCAGAACTGTGTATTTTAAAAGTTGTCCTGACTGCATCGAGGCCGCCAGGAGGACTGTAAGGAGGCCTTTTCAGTAACCCAGCAGTGGTAGTTAAAATCAAAGTGGATGGTGGGATGGATTCGGTAGGACCTTGGGGAAACACTACCAGGTCACCATGGCTTGGGCAACTGAGGGGCATCTTTTACTGAAATCTGGACCCAAAGAGGACAGGCAGTTGGAGGGACTGTGTTTAGTTTCGGACACGTTGAGTATGAGGTTGCTGTGGAATATATCCAAATAAAAATATCCAAGAGGCAAAGTAAATACTGACTTAAAGTTCTTGGAACTTGTGTTTTCAGCTGTACTCAGGTTAAGTTCATCAAAGATTGTCCTTGTTCCTCTTGCTCTTGTTTCTGAGAGTTGTTCATCTTTGGTTCAGTGTGACTTTAGACGGGAAGCTTCACCTTTCTGCAGGTTTGTTTCCTCATCCAAAATGAAAAGGCAGACTAGCTGATCTTCCTGAGCTCTTTTCGGTTTAAACCTTCATCAGACACTGCAGTTTTTTCTTTTCAAAGGGATTGAAAGGTGGAGTTGGAAATTTCTAGTCCTTGTTTGTCAGAATTCAATTTGAGCTCTTCTGGTTGCATATTCTTATGCTAAGAAAAGAGCCTATTCAGATGTATATTGGGAGCCCTCAAAAACTTTATCCTCAGAGGTGCTAAAGGAGAAAGGATGTAGGGAAATCTGGGGCAGTGGGAAAGGCCTGACCCACCCTCTCAAGAGAGGGTCGGATTAGGCCTAGACAAAAAGCTCTAGCCTCCTGATCCCTCTGCTCACTGAGGCCTGGCTCGCTCTGGGTGATCAGGAGGCTCTTTTGTCAGGGGGGGAGTCTCACCCCCTCCCTGAACTCTAGTCGTCCTAATGGGCCCATGGCAGCAGACTTTCTCTTTCTTCAGTCTTGGCATCCTAGTAAGTTTCTAGCAGAATAGGCACCTTTCTTCCTGTCATTTCCCCTCTTACACTTCCTGGCTCAGATTTTTCTGCACTTTGTGAGGCCCTAAACCTGCCCTGGAGGACTCCCGCAGCATTCCAAGGTACTTCGGGCGCTGGGGATTGTGTTAGGAGAGCCTGTTGGCTTCTAGCCCAGCTGTTGCCGTGTTCTTGGTTTCTTCCCCTGCTCCGGCTGCTCATGGCCCTCTCTCAGGTGGGCTTCCAGGAGCAGTAGGAATGAGTTCAGTCTCCAGAGACTTGAAGAGGAGCTTACTTTCCAAACTAGTCCCTGGGTGAGCGCAGCTCTAAGAGCAGTTTTCAGACTGTTCTCTGGAACCCTAGCGGATCTTGGGGACTGTCATGGGGGTTGAGGTCCTCCAGTTCAACCCCACCACCACCACTAAGTCAACCAAAATTTGCTACACTTCTATTTTAAAAGGGATTCTGGGGGCACCTGGGTGACTCAGTCGGTTAAGCATCTGCCTTTAGCATAGGTCATGGTCCCGGAGTCCTGGGATCGAGTCCCACATCGGGCTCTCTGCTCAGTGGGGGGCCTGCTTCTCTCCTTCTCCCTCTGCTGCTCCCCCTGCTTGTGCTCTCTCAGTCAAAGAAATAAAATCTTTTTTAAAAAAATTAAAAAGGGATTCTGGGAAAAATTAGTTTGAAGAAACGGTTCCACTGCTTTTATTTTGAACTTTGAAGATCATTGTTCTGTAGCATTTGTTCTGGTTTGAGCCCCGTTTGCTCTTTTGCTGGTTTTTTTGTTTCATTTTTGTTTTAGTGTGACAGATACTGAACAGATTGGGAAATCTTAGATCTAGGTCCTATGGATATTTCCTAAACTCCTCTAATAAAACAGTGGTGTATCTTTAAGCAACTTTTAGAATGTTCCACCAGGTACCGTTCAGTCCAGCAAACAGTATTACACACTAAATGCTAGTCTCCGAGTTGGCCCCAGGGGCTCAGACTTGGTGAAGCCCTGGATCCTCCCTTCCTGGGCGCTCACTAGCCAACCCTTGGAGAAATCCTCCTCACTGCCCTCCTCTCCCCCAGTACTCTCCAGCTCAGAACATCTCCACTGGCACATTTTGAGCTCATCGTCCTCATCCTCCTCCTGACCAGCCCACTCTGTGCTGCATGTCTCTTGACATTTATTGTAACTCGAGATTCCTTCTCAAGGGGAGAAGGGAGAGATGATGAGAGGTATGAAAGACCTGATCAAATGCAAGTTCACTCCAGTCTCTCCTAGGCCTCCACTTCACTTACCTGACTTCTGTTACTCAGCGGCTTTGGGTGTGGGAGATTTGGAAGCAAATGCCCCATCCTGCTGGGCTAGGTTTTGGGCAAATGTTAGTGAATAGTCTCTGAGCATGAGTCTAGACCCAATGGGAAGTAATGCTTTAGCATAAAAATGTGGAAATGTCTGGAAATCATAAATCCCATCTGTCAAGGCCAAGATTGAAATCCTGACTCCACCTGTCTCCAGTATTTGTCTCTTTAGGATCAGGTATCTTAAAAGACCTCTCATTTCATTTTTAAAACTTTCTAAAGGAAACTGGATCAGATTAGAGCACCCCCAACTTGGTCAGTTCCTGTGAGGCCACAGGATGAGGACGTGCTGCCATCAGGCTGCAGGCCCTGCGTAGTCCTGTCTGATGGCAGTTAGTCAGTCATCTGCTGTCACAGTAGGGCTGAGCAAGGCCGGGCTAAGACATTCGTGTGCTATGTCCTGAGACTCTCTTGACTTTTTTTTTTAAAAAAGACTCAATGTCTTAAAATAGCATGGTAGCTGAAACAACAGTACCAACAACAACAATAATAGCTTGCCATTCCTGAGAATGGTTGTTTGTTTAAAATCCGAGGCCTGGGTTCTGGCAGCAGTTCGTTTCCACGAGCGGGGCTCCCACAAGAGTTGCTCTAATGGAAATCATATGGTCTCGTCGTGACCGGAAACACAGGGGTCTGTGAAGCGTTCTCCCACCCCCTCCGTAAGGAATTTTCTGACAGAAACTACACACCCTAGAGCTGGAAATAGGTGGTGTAGACCTGATCATTTGAAGAAGCTTAGGATGCTACTGTGTTCCTATTCGAATAATAACGATGAGTCCGCGCTTTGGGCTTGGCTCTCCAGTCTAACCTACATGCAGTCTGCCCTCCCCTCGCCAAGTCTGAAGAAGACATTTTAACTGCCTTGTTGAGAGAGGGAGTCGGGGAGTTGGGGCGGCCGCAGCGTAGTTCTCTGCATTGCTGGGATCCCCACGCTGCCCTCTGAATGGATAGTCCTCAGTCAGCTCTGGACTCCCCATCTTCTCAGTAGTTCTTGCCGTGCTGGCTGGCTGTGGAAAAACTCACCAGGTCCCCGTGCACCCATAGGCTCAGCTGCTTTCCCCGTTGCTCCATAGAGTAGTCCCCACATCACACTCGGGAAAGTTCTCTGTCTCTAGTCCCCTTCCCATACTGAAAAGCCTTCCCAGAGCCACAGTTTGGGGGAAGGGGGGAGGATGGAGAGGATGAGGGAGACGCAGAATGAGCAGGCCTGGGGCGGCTTATATGTGGGAAGGAGTGAAATGACCCTTTCGACCTTGGGTCACGTGCACTCGACTTCTGGACAGTCCTGAATGGCAGAGTCACTAATGGCTTTATGACAGTCGCCTTTTTCTGACTCCTTCGGCAGCCCCGGGTAGCATCCTTGGCCTCCTTGATTTCAGATTTTGACAGGTGATAAAAGCACATACTGAGATCGCTGCTTCACAGAGTCCAGATTCATAACTATCGACTGATGTGATTTTTTTTTTCTTTGCTGAGACGCTCCCTCATGTGTTTGCTGTTACTTTAATGGATTGCTTCCTGATACATTCTGAGCCCCGGGCACTTGCCCTTCAGTCTGGCAAACTGCAGCTTGACCTGAATGGAATCGGATTCAGACCAGTCAGTTGGCAACACGACTCACTTTTTTCCCCCTAGAAAATACAGTCAGTGTAAGCAGGAACTACGAGTGTTCTAATTTGCATCTTCGTGGAGTTTAACTTTAATCAGGATACGCCAGGCTGTTTCACTTCTGTTCTCTGCATTTTTGACATCTTAAACACCCTGCAGGTACAGTGGCTGGCCCCGTGCTTCGGAGAGCTGAACGGAAAGTGCTTGGTGATGATGATGTATTTGTCAGTAGTAATTACACTGATAAACAGAGAAGGCCTCCAGTTGTTCTGGTCTATCATGACCCTGCCAGTAACCCATTGTTCTCCCAAAGGCTCTGCAGTGGGTTTTCATGGGATATCTCCTACCGGTTCTCTTTCTTCCTCTCTCCCTCTGAGGGCCACGTGTGCGGTTTGGGGCAGGAAATCCCCACTGTTCTTGTTTCCCCCCAGCTCTGGTTGGAAAGACATCAGAGTGTCCAGGGCAGAGCCCAGGCCTGAGATCCCAGCAGGCCAGACAGGCAGCAGATGCCGGTTGCTTTTGTTCACTTTGTATTTACCATTCCCTTGCTTAGAGTTTGGGGACCAAAACCCACAGGTTATTGAAAGCATGAGAGTAATTTGACTTCTGACTGGATGGGGGCTCGGGGTTGTTTGGTGTTTTGTTTCTGATTTGAAAGCAGCTGTTTGGTAACCACTAACTCTTGCCTTATTCTTTTCTTGCAGATGAGCTCACAGTGCCTGCACTTTACCCCAGTAGCCCTGAAGTGTGGGCCCCGTACCCTCTGTACCCAGCGGAGTTAGCGCCTGCTCTACCTCCTCCTGCTTTCACCTATCCCGCTTCACTGCATGCCCAGGTAATTTATACCCATCGGCCACGACTTCACTCCCTCCACCACCGGTCCTTTCAAACCTGGTTCCCCAGAGCACACCATACAACTAACACCTATCCAGCTAACAGACCCCCCTTCCAGAGATTAATGACCCCCTCTAAATCAAGCTGACGCTCCTCCAGGACTTGAGGACCGTCTGACAGCAATGACATCACCCACTGCCTGATGTTTGCCCCAGTGACACCTCTCTCTTCCCTAATGATCTCACCCTCATACCACACACGAGAGACGGGGTGCAGGTTCCCCCCCAGCCCCCAGCCAGCCCGAGGGCGTCCCTAGAACTTAGTCGCGTGCGCCTGGTCGTGCGGGAGCTGCCGAGGGAGGCGCGCGCTGGTTGCCAGAGTTCTGTGTCTGTGCGTGGAGGGATTTCGTCTCTCGGGTTCTAGGAGAGCTAGTGGCCAGAGGGGAAAGTTGGAAGCTTCCAGGAAGACCGTGTGCTAGCTTACAGATGTTACAGGAAAGATTAGGATTCCTTTTTTTCCACCTTTAGAAAAGGAGGTACAGTGTAGTGTGGAGAATGTAATTAAACGTCAAGGTGAAGGTCTTTGTCTGGACCCAGTTCCCTTCTTAGTTAAATAAAACTCCCTTGTTTTTTCACAAAGATTACTACCCACGTCCCAACCCTCCCTCTCCCCTTGGCGGGGAGGGGGGGGGTGTTGCTCTTAGTTTTGCTCTTAGTGCAAGCAGTAGTAATGAAGTAATGTTAGGATTCAGCGAGGATCACCAGCAAAGAGGAGAGAATATAGATTTCATTCGTTTTACTGCACGTGTAACTCCTCTAAAAGCAGGAAAGCCTGGTTTCTGAAAAACCATTGGCCTGGACAGACAGGTGGGGTTTTTGTTTGTTTTGCTTAGTGTTTATTTACAAGGCTGGGTGAAATACACAGCTTCCCAAAAAACTCTTCCTTCTGACGGGAAACTTCCATGTTGTACAGAACTCACTGTGTTGACTAAAGCCCGGACAAGCAGCCCCCTAGCTGACGTCCTCGTGGCCAGGGGCTCAGGCGGGGTGCCGGCTGCATACGTGCCCATTCCGTCCCAGCCGAGCTGTCCGTGCTCTGTGCACGCGTGCACAGCCCAGCCTCCCAGGCACCGAGCAGGCAGACTACAGAGAGAGGCCCCCGAAGTGATGACCCTCGGTGTTGGCAGAAGGAGGTAGTGAGGGAAAAGGAGAGGGTGACGGTTGAGAGCTGCTGGCTTGGGACAGGACTTAGAGCAGCCCCAGGATTCGGAGCCCGATGGCCCAGGGTCCACATCGGCCGTGCTTTCTGCTTTCTCTTCCCTCGCTGCTGCCTCGGCCTCAGTCCTCGTCAGCGTTCGGGCTCCTCGCAGGGGCCAGGGGAGGGAGAAGGGATAAAACCTAAACCTGTGGCTGTCTTCTGCTGAGTCATCGAAATGTTCGCAGTGGCCTTGGGGATATAACTTTGTAGGTGATGGGGAGCAAGTCAAAGAGGCCCCCTCTGTTTGTGGGCCCGCCCCCACCATCTGTGGAGATGTCTTCGCTCCTCTTCCTAGACCGCCTAAAGAAGGATTAACTGACAGTTGAGGCAAATGTTCCGAATACCATGGAAGGGTGCCAGGTGTGCAGAGTATTGTGAATATCAGTGGCTTTGTTAATCAGCAGCAAAGCCTTTCACCATTGTCCTGGAAAAGCAAGAATTGACAGTGGCCAGAAAGGAGTGGGAACGGTGGCTTTGGGGCCTTAATAACATCCGGGTAACTTGCCTTGCTTCGTATAATGATTGAAATCCAAAGTCTATCCGGGGGTGTATGGGAGAAGGAACTAAAGAGTCTTAAGAGATTAGAAAGCCCATGCCCATCGTGAGAAAGGTTAGAGACAGTGCCAAGATTAGATGGACTCAACCATTTGACTTAGTGGGATGTTTTGCCCAGGGTGGCGCCCTTCCCTGTGAGTTCTGTCTTGATCTTGAGACTTTCCCAACCTGGAATCCACTTGGCTCCGCCACATCGGTCCTAGAGTTGGTGGAACTTTCATCTGAAATCAGTGAGATCCTTGTGCTCAACCCCAAAACTTGTTTGGAGTCATTCCCAGTGCAAGCTTGGGTTCTGTATCCAAGGCTCATGAACAGATACGGTTATTTAAATTCCTTTGTCCAAGATGAGAATCCTAGAATGAACTGGTAGAGGCCTTACCGATCCAGCAGGTCTGGCCCATTTTACAGTTGAGGAGACAGACTGGAGAAGATGGAGAGTTCTCGACAGTCGCGAGTGGCTCTACCATGACTGGAGCCAGGTCACCTGACTCCCAGGCCTTGCTCTTTCCACGCCTCAGTGCTGGCTCACCAAAGACTTACTCTTTGTTGGAATTTTGGAAAGGCCTCACTCCACTGACTCCTTGGAACTTTCTTCTCTAAGTAGATGAGAAGCCTGTAAGAAGAGACTTGGAGGCAAAGACAAGGGAATAAGAACTTAACCTTCACTCAAAGGGCCTGAGAGAATTTTTATTAACTGGAGGTAGAGCAGTGGGGAAGACTAAAACGGAACATCCCCTTAGTGGATGGTTCCGGTTTTGTTTGGAGATCTTACTGTATGTCTTTGGAGAAGCTTTTATATTATTTTGCTTTTCTTAGCAATGTTGTGCTCTGTTTTGAGACTTGGATTTTTTTTTTCTTCTAGTGTTTCTCTCCTGAGGCAAAGCCCAACACACCTGTCTTTTGTCCACTTCTCCAGCAAATTAGATTTGTCTCTGGGAATGTGTTTGTAACATACCAACCTACTGCAGACCAGCAGAGGGAGCTCCCATGTTGAATTTGCTTGTTAGCTATTTTTCCCCCATTTTGCAAAAATTATTTCTTGGTAACATTTGAGAGATTTCAATAAAAATTTTAATCAGAGCAAAAATTATCTCAAGTAGACTGCAGCGTTTTGTTTTCATGGTGATGCGAGTTTGGAGCTTTGAGATTGTGGGAGAATTGGGCCCATGAGGCTGAGCACACACCACGTGGGAGAAGGCCTCAGAGCCTCCAGGGGAGGCGTGGCCCAGAGCCGAGGCCTCCCTGCTGCTACTGCTCTCTTCTTGGGCTCCTGCGCCATCAGGAGCCGCACATTGGAAGACTCTCTTTCTAGCATGTGTGGGTCGCCTCTACCAGGAGATCTTGCATCAGCAGGGGTGGTGTGTCTGGCTATCAGAAGCCTGTGTGAAGAAAGAGCTGTTTTCTCCAGTCTGTCCGCCCTGATCCCGAGGAAGGAGGACCCAAGGGGCAGAAATTGCCATTGAAGATCAGGAGTCGCATCTTCTGGTTCTGCTCCAGCTTCCGTCTGTAAATCGAAGATACTTATTTTTTGAGGCCTCATTGCAGAAGGTAACGGGACTGTAGGCTGCAGAACTGCCGTGTCGTTTGTAGGGATGAAGGAACGACCTGATGCAGCAAACAACAGAGTTCTAAGAAGATCATTAACATTTTTAGACATGATCATCCTGTTTACTTTCAAGGTCACTGGTGTTTGAAATTTATTAAATATATTCTGAAAGTCGCTGTGAACAGGAGGGCAGGTTTCATCCATGGCTTTTAGGAAAGTTCTCTCATGCACATACAGCACTTCCTGCCACGTCGTCCTCACACAGCTCAGCCTTTTCGGTCCCCATTCAGTTTTGCTTAGTGCCAGTTATTTATTTAGTCTTGTTGCTGACGGGGCAGAGAGAAAACCAATAAAGTGCACTGTTCCCGTTACATTCTAGAAACAGAATACCATTTACCCTTGACCCAGAGCCACCTTGTTGGGCCAGAAACTTGTCCAGGTAAGTAGGAGTGAGAGAGCAAGTCCCGGTTCCCTGTGTCTTCTCCAGGGGCCTCATTTGCCCTGAGTCAACGGCAAATCTTCCAGGGCTACTCCACGGCTCACAGCTGGAACCCATCACCTGTGTCTCAACAGTAGGTTCTAAAATTGTAACACAGACTTCCAGGGCAGGACATGCCCCTTGGGAGGTGCCTTGTGACACGCAGGACAAATTGTAAAGGTTAAACCCAAAATCAATATAAAAATGGACCATGGGAAAAGTGACCCAGGCACACAGGGAAGGAAGAGAGATCACGGGGGGAGAGAAGGGCCAGGAATGTTCTGCGGGTGCTCACGGCAGAGCCGCCCGCCCGCCCGATCCAGGCATTTACTCAGCGAAAGGCAACTGCAAACTGAATCTTTAAACTTTTTTATAAAAACAAATTTAAAGTCTTTAAGCCTCTCCTTTGTCACTATGCCCTATGGAGAATGCTGAGATGAGACACAAGCGATCTGGTTTGGCACGGGGTGTAATGGAAGCGCAAGGCCCAGGAGAGAGGGAGTGTCTTGAGGGAGGCAGGGAGCAGGGCAGGTGTGAGTAGGGACTTGGGTGAGCACCCAGTGGGGCGGGACTCGCGCACAATGGGTAAGGGTGTCTGGTCCTGCAGAGGGAGCCATGAACAAAGCCGGAGGGGCGGGGGGCCTTCGGCATCCCAGCGGCTGGCCAGCCTCCCAAAGGGAAGGGAAGAGTCGGGAGATTCAGGGTGTTTGCTTCAGGGCCTCCCAGATGGCATCAGCTCTTCCCGCCCGAGACCTGGTCCTCGAGGCCTGGCTTTCTCCAATGGCCACTGTCTCCCTGCAGTCCAGGCCTTGTGATTGTCTGGGAGAGCATGGCTTTGAGGGACTGCAGAGGTTGCCTTTGGGGGCTGATCAGCCCAAGGCTTTAAATTGTTTTTAGACATCGATGAAACTGTTAATCCTCTGATAATGTACCTTTCCCTTTAAACCTTACAGCTCCGTGAAGGTCAGACTGTGAGGAGAAACTGCCCCTGGGTGCTCTGTCTCCTGAATGTGCTAGCCTTGTCTAGTTCCTGACTCGGTTCAGCTTTCTCGTCTAGGGGCCCCTGGCTTCACTCCCATAGGAGGCCAGGTGGGGGGCAGGCCGGCCAGGCATTGAGCTCACAGCGCTGGCCTCCTCTGAGCTCTGGGCGTGTGTCTGCCACTTA